ATTGATATTACTTCATATGTTATTGTTGATGACACGAGGAAATAAAATAAATGGTTAGAATAGTGATGTAACCATCTTTGAAATAGACATCCGTGGTATTGTTATATAGTGAAATAGTACGTCTAACAATGGAACGACTTACATTTATAACACAAATATAGATCTAATACATTGTCATTCAATATTTGAATTATAAGAATCTTAAAACACATATGATTTAAACTTTATACATATGTATTAAAATTGAAATAACACATTTACGTTTAACGTTTAAAAGTGCAAGTACCAATAAAAAGTTTGATCAATGTTACTTAATTATTATTGGCTGATACTTTTCATGAAATATTTGTGTATTACACAACTATATCTAATTTTCAATAATCAACCTTTCATAAATACTGATATAGGGCCTAAAGCACTTTGTTTTCTTAGACATCGAGATAAGTTTTGGACGGGCGATGTCTAACTGTCTGACAGTCTGTTAGTTTGACAGTCCGTTTACTAGTTTAAATACGCTTTCAAATTGAATATGCTAGCTATTTCTTTATTAGCTAGACAGAAGTATTATTATTAGTTATATCAAATAAAAGAAAATCACTTTGACCTTTCATATATACACGTCATGATTTAAGATAAATATATTTACATTAAGTCGTATATGGAAGGATAGATATTACCTCGATATATGTTATGTAACGTTAAGAGACATTTCATCGGTCTTCAAGCATGCGTGGGAAATAGAAAACTATTTATTATTATTGATAGCATACAAAACAACTCTGCATGAAGCATGACCAACAAAACAATAAATTCAGATCAGTTTCGATCTTGCAACATGGATCTTCAATAACTATATTGAATATTGTCTACTTGACCTAAATTGCACTCCAAATCATTATAAATTATCTAGCATTTTCAATTCGCTTAAAAATATCTCAGTGCTATATATTCGATTCAAACTTTTATTGCAATTTCGTATATACATACTTAGAGCAAATCAAAATGAAAGAAAACTACATGTTATGTTAATATACGGTGTACGGTGTCTTAAATTTTAACGTAATTTTCATATAAATCTTTTAATAAATTGACAAATCAGATCTACTCAAGGTAGAATACTAGATATTAAATTATTCATAACTGAATGAATAATGTAAACTTACCAGTTTTGCAATAAGTAAAACCTTAATTTAAAAAGTGTCTTGAATATCTCAGAGGAATCTGAGAATTAGAATTAGCAGGTTACAGATTATTTGGAATGAGTAAGTGACGAAAAGGTCCTTATTATGTAGTGCAAAAAGTGGAAAAGTAAAACTGAATTGCCTAATATTGTTTTTATTAAATGACATGCCATCCATGAATAGCAAACTTACTACCTTAACCTTGGAGGTAAGGACAGAAGTCTTGAACACGACACGTCATATTGATGTGGTAGACATTTATGCCAAGTGATTTCAAAATCTTTCAATGCATGACAAAGTTACAGTCCGAACACAAATGTTTCCTTGCTGTTTTAGTTAGTGACATGAGCCTTGGACGCGACACGTCGTTTGATGTGGCAAGATATTTTAAATCCTTCAGTGCATAACAATATTATTTTAAGTGCTGTGTACATGGGGACGCACAGACTGGGTCATATGGGGGTTGCGTTCATTGAACGCCGTCTTTCCTTGTTGATCCTGTTTATCATATATTAAGACGATACCAATGTGACAGAACAGATTTTGAACAGTTCGTTTAGAAATAGAAAAAATAAGAATCCCTAAAGAAAGTCCAAAACGGAAAAATTGAAAATGTTGCAGGCTCGGATTGATTAAGCCTGTTCATGGACGGTACTGTAAATTGCAAGCAACCCCCATGCCCTCAAACGCCGTTTTAAGCAGAATTTAATATATCTAAAATATGATACACAAGATCAACAAGGAAAGGCGGCTTTCAATGAACGCAACCCCTACAGGACCCAACAACAAGGACCAGCGGCCAGGAGACCAGGAAGACCCCAAACAAAAACAGATCACAGACAGAATAATCGCTTTAATAATACATAAAAGGTTATAATAGTATCTGACAAGGAAATCAAATACAGTTGATTGATTTTCAGGCCCACAAAGTTTTAAGTTCCATTTCAAATTTTTACCTTGGGTTCCATTAAAAAAAGAAGAAAAAAGTGAGTTTTTTTTTGTAAATCATTCGAGGAAGATTTATTTTCAATCAATTGTGATGAATATTTGGACATCATAAAAGAATACAATTTGCGCAAGGTATTATTACATTCACTAATAAAAATAATCATTTATTAACACGTAACCGCAAAATAAAAATGAGTAAAAATAATCTTGCAAAGGAGATATATCTCAATAATGGAAAGAGTTTAAAAGTGAAAGTTGCAGACTCGATTCGATTAAGTCTGTTCATGGGAGATAATGTAAAGTGCAACATCTACCACGCTCCCCTAGCACCGGCTCAAGCAGTCGGTATTCAATCTTTAACACAGTAACATATTAGAATAAATAACCCCGAAGAACCAGAAATATATAATAACGTTGAATTGTGCCACTCAATTAGCACTTGACACCAGTTGCTGTGAGCATAAAAATCTAGGAAGGAGCACATTCCCTGGGAGCAGCGTTGCCTAAGCCGGTGCTAGGGGGCATAGACTGTAATTTGCATTTACCAGTACCGTTCATTAACTGGCCCGATCAAACCGAGCTTACAACATTTTCAATATTGTCGTTTTTGGCGTTCTCTACGGATTCTGTATTTCAACATTTTAGAAGTGAAATATAGCAAGTTTTCAACCGATGTCTGCAATTTTCATGTAATTTTGTTGTGATTAATGCTTCCGAGAGATCACACTTTATCCAGATTTTTATTCAAATGCACACAAATGCACATGTCATAATAAAGCGTGAACGTTTGGCCTTTGGAATATAGAGTTACTTCCTTATTCGTTATCTTAAGATAAACCCGCCACGTGGTATTCAATAAGTTCCGTATGAAATTATCGTGTTCATATTTGATAGTCACTTCCTTGTTATTTGACTTTAAGATTGTGCATGTTCAAGCGTTGTCCTTTGTAAACAATACGAATGTGAAATCTGATCCTTCCAATTGAAGCTTGTTTACATGTATATATGAAACAGGATGTTAATATCGATCTTTTTGGCCCATGTATGTTACTGTTGATTCATTCATTCGGTGCTTTAATTAAAGATCATGTAACACAATTTTTTTATGGTTTTAAATCATAAATATGATGCTCAAATTAAGATTTATCAATATTGTAGGTTCCAAAAAGCATTATTTATAAAGATATTACCGAATTTAACATTTCATGTAAATAAAGGGAGGTAATTAGAAATTTGTTTTCTATAAAGTTTAAGTCAAATTTTACAATAAGAAATGAATGCATATATTTGAATGTTTACATATGATATGCACAAATATTTGCAGTACATATTTTACATATTTTTCGATGTTAGAAAATTGTTTTATTTGCATAATTATGTCCATATATATAATTTCACTAAGTGTGGTTAACCACTCCAAGATCTTAAACATACATATATTTATCATGACGATGACAGATCAAACGTAACATTGCCAAATGTACGGATATATGCAAAATAGTATGTACAAGTGTATGCATTTAGTGCCTGTAGAGATTAGTGTGTTATATAATAAATTGCAATGATACGTTCGCTTATTTTTACAAGGAACTTATTGCAAAGATTTTTCAATAATTTCGATCTGTGATTCATGTAAAAATGGGGATTTTTTTTTACAAATCTTAATTCATTACAGATGACCTAGGTGCATTCGTAGTCGAGTTGTTAAGCCTTAGGTTTTAGCTTGAGGAACGTCGATGGTTCTACTCAGGTGCCCGTTCGTGCCAGAAGTAAAGGTTTTATGTACCCCCCCCCCCCCCCCCAAAAAAAGAAAAAAAACACAAAAAAACAAAAAAACAAACAAACAAACAAAAATAACAAACAACAAGTAAACAAGTTACCGTCCACCCCCTAGCACCGGCTTATGCAAAATTTGAATGTAACAGCACCCGCAGATAAGCCAAGCATCCGCTATCAAAGGAAGAGCATATATGATATCATAGTATGATATATCAAAGAACATATCATGGTATGTATGACTTACCGAGACATAGTACTATATATACCATGTTGCTTTTGATTTGTGAAAGTGTTGAAAAAAATAGACAAAGTATATGTATTTATATTCAGCCACATTATGTATTACGTCCCGGCTTTGAGAAAATATGTCTAGAAAAATATCAGATAGCGCTAGCTTAAGCAACCGTTTATAAACTACACAAACTGGTTCGTATCAAATCTCGGACATAAAGTTATTCTTGCAAGTCCCAGGACAAGTGCACGAATTGCATTGACATTTGCATAACACGTGTTAAGTTTCTTGTAATGTTAAACATTAAAAACACACAATATCTGTGTAAAAAAAACTAAAAGGGGAGTTAAAGCAATGGAAAATGAAAACTCATTCTGAAGACGTAATGAAATTGTGTAACATCACTCATGCCCCTACCACCGGCTTAAGCGGTATGAATCCAATCTTCAACATTTAATGTACTAGAATCTTTTATAACTATTTTTCGTGATGTTTCTTAAACGTCATTTCATTTTATTCAAACATTCTTGACGACTGTACGTTTTCAAGTTATACACAGCTATATTAGAAAGTCTTATTAATCGTTTGTTTACTTACTATTTAAATTATTGCTTAATCTGTTCAATTTATGTCACGTATTAAGCCATGACAATGACGCCAGAAGGTCAAATAGTGACGTGCCATTAACAATGGCTCACATGATTGTGAGTCATCGTACAACCAAGAGCTCTAAAAATTAATGTCAAAGGACCAATGAAAACACACTTATATTTAGAGCCTTATGTAGTCCAACTAGACTATATTACGTAATCATTAAAATCATTTTCACTGGCGGAATATTCATATATACTATCACTATATTAGGAAAGTGACCATAAGCAAACAGTCTTGTCCAAATAGATACTTCTTTGGCTCTGCTTTTAGTAAACAGTCTTGGTCGCCCGGGCAAGGGAGGTAATATTGACCTCAAAACGCCCGGATGTTAGCTTCTCTGGAAAATCCGCCATTTTGCGCAATCATATTGGCTTTATTTTTGTCAATAAACAAGCCTACTGGGTTGAATAAACGACATATTTAAAATACAGAAGTGTACAAATCAAGTAAGTACTACAAAGAATAAACTTTGTAACTTTTTATGAGTGAATATCGTTGTTAAATTGCTAAAAGTTTGATGTTTAAACTCGGCGGCCCGCTGTCAACAAAGGCCGTTGCCACTTCGGTGACCCGATAATGGACTTACAGTGATGGAAATAGTTTAAATAACTATTGTTTATTCATTTAGGTATTTCATTTGGAAGATATAAGTAAACAAATGTGTACTTTATATTTTATGTTTATTTTACAAGTGTTACAATTAGATATTTCAACAAATTACGTAGGAGAGTATCGAGTAGAAAATTAAACTGTTAACGCTGCACTTGCTGCTGATAATGAAAGTCTTGATACATCTGATGATGCTGCCCAATTTATGAAAGTTATATTTAGAATACTTGTTGCTGTTTTCTAAAGGTTATTGATTATTGGGATTTATTCAAAAGGCTCTTATTAAATGTGTTATGAGTTTATTAAAAAAGCCTTTTTATCCATGTGTTTTTATTATAATCAAGGTATGAAGGGTTAAATTTTTTTGCTACAATATAATAATTTAGAGGAATTTTTTGTGGTTGTCTTCTGTGAAAATTGAATGTCATGTAGAGATTATAATATATAAAAATAAATAATTTTTGATCTAGTGGGGTTAAAGTTTATGTAACTGAGTATGTCATGCATTACTTCATAAGCTACTTAATTATAAAGGTAAATTTGTTTTAATTTAAACTCAGAAAGTCACAACTCAGTTGTAAAGATTTTTTTTATTTACAATACACCGCATGCTGAGTCAAAGGTCGAGTGATAATTAAGAATATAGTTGAATAATATGAGGACAATGTATATTTCACCACACAAAAAATTATGACTTTAGTTAAAAATAGTTTTATATTTCTCTCATTTTGAAAAATGAATTTATTTTTGCAATTTAATATAATTGATGAAGAAAATGTTTAAATGTTTCTGTTGACCATTTAAGCATAAATAATATTTATAAATGTAAAAATGATATGATTAATGTTTTCTCAAAGGTTGTGCAAAAACCAACATATTTTTAACATATGATTATGAGCAACAAATGAAAAGTTAATTTTGTTTCGATTATGCATATATTTGGTCAAGTCCCCATTCCTTTGCTTATGGAGAAAAATCTTTATTCAAAATAAGATAATTATACATTTATGCTGTGAATGGTAATGTAATATTCAGTAATAAATTTTTGCCAAAAAAAAAGAGAAAATGAAATCTAATTAATGATTCTTTCATGCAGACAGTATGTCAATGAATAGCACATTGATTACTTTGGTCAGGTTGTGTGCCATCTTGACATAGGTTCAGGTAAAACTGTATAGGTCCAGTGATACTTCCAAGATTACTGGCACTTTTCAAAAATACAGACTCTGTAGCTGCTGGGCCCCTAACATTGAAAATCTAAGGGCGTATCAAAAAAGTTTGGGGCCCAACTTTACGATAATTTTTGTCAATTTATATTTGGAGAAATATAAACATGAATCAAATAATACTTTGGTTTTATTCAACATTTAAGGAATCTTTTTTTTCTAAATAGAAGAATACAATAGATTAGTAGCATGGTAAAAAAATTTTTTTTATGTCTTTTCTTCATCATAAAGAAAAAAAATGCCTACCATTCCATTTTCTTGGTCTTTAAACCAATGGTGAATTTTTTGTCATGGGCCAGAACTGTTCACAGGACACTATTTAGGGAGAAGTTGTGTAAGCGGCCAGATAGCTCAGTTTGTAGAGCCACAGAACAGTATTCCAAGGGTCCGGGGTTCGAGCCCCGGTCAAGTTGCACATTCTTTTAACCCTTTGACATTTGGTCTTGTTACTGTTTTAACTTCCTGTCCTTTTCATCTTTATCAGAAGTGACTGTGTATGAATTTTTCAGCTTTGAAATTGTATTTTTTTTAACAATAAATAGGTGTCTGAAATTTGATGATCCAAAATGACATACATTTCTATTAATAAAAGTGACAAATTTTCAATCACGAATTGATTTTTGAATTCTATATATTCTCATTAAAATGTTAGATGTGCACAAAATACTTGACATTAATATTAGTAATTCTTGGAATTTGTCTTAATAGTTTTACCAAAATCTGCTGAAGGTATCATATTAAAGCTACATGCCTCAAGATGAGTCAAAATATTTCAATCAATAAAATCAAACTTGAGAAAAATGTACTAAGATGTAAGGAAAAGTAAAAAGTTTCAAGATTCAAGTAATATTTTACATATGCGTGATTAATGACTGATTTTTCAGGATTTACAACTATATTTTCCTGCGTTGCTAATGCAGTAAAGGCTATTTATGCGTATTTTGACCACATTTTGGTAATTTATATGGTTTGTAAGAGCCATAAATAATGTTTAAATTGCTTCCTTTTGGTTACTTCTCAATATTACACATTCAAATACATTTTCAAAATTGTCATGAAATTTAGCATGAATCTGGAGGAGTGCTGCTTTAAATGTATTGTATGATAAATAAATTATATATTTATCATGGCTTATTTTAGTTACTTTTTTCTAAATTACAGGCTGTGATGGACTATGGATGTGAGATAGCTGTCAATTAAAATGTCCATGAGATTATCTTGGGATAATCAGTGACATAAACTCTGTAGGATAATTATAGCCAGCAAGATTCATTTGACCATCTCAGAGAAGGGTAAAGTTGAAGAAAATGAGGAACTGTCACTCTTGTGCGGTTAGTGTCAAAATTATTAAACTTTCTGTTTCTCAGAATTTATTTTGGGTAACTCAAGATTTCCACTATCAAAAGCATAACAGAACAGTTGTGTTACGAAAACTACTCTTGAATATTTTATTCATATTAAAAAAACACCCTTTTAAAACTGCTTGAATGTCTCCAGATTCAGAAGGGTTCTAGTTGGGCAATGTTGCAAAAAGAAAAAAAATCTTCTGAAATTCCACCTACTTACAGGAGAGCTTAAATTGTGATGGCAATATGCCTTTCCTTCACTATCCACATTTTTTTTAACAACATCTCTTCCTCAATCACAAAGTGGGTTTTGATGGTTGATGGTTCTACTCGTGCGTCTGAAATTATGCGCAAAGGTGCACTTGTGGTCTTTCTCTACCAGTGCAGCTGGAAAGATGTTGTGCTCATCTGTGACAGTCTGACAACATTATCTTCCTTTCTGTAACTACAATAGCCAAAGCATAGATTGTAGAACATTTTCTAATTTGGCAAATTTCTTGAATTAATATTTCCAAACTTTCTAAGGTATTTTTCCAAAAATAGAAAGGACTGAATTTTAATTCTTAGTTCTGTACAAGGAATATTAATTTCAAGTTTACGTAAACCATTGTTATAGTCTGACATACTAGACTTTAAAATTAGTTATCCAATCAAGAAGATTTGAATGTGAGATTGTTTTATGTGTATTTTAAACAAAGATAACTTTTACTATAGAAAAAATTTAGAATGAATATGCGTTTCAGAAATAATCAAAGAGGAAAATGAATGATTCATAAGGGCTTATTTATAACCATTCAAAGCTTAGTGCATTCATTTTTCAGAACTGTAAGAAAGAAAATTGTGGCAAGTGTTCCAACTGCAAAGACATGACAATGTTTGGCGGCATGGGTACCAGGAAAGCAAGATGTCAGCAGCGTGTCTGTATTAGAAATTCGCCGAAAAATTTACGGAAAGATTCACTTACATTACCAACAAAATCAAAATCTGATTCAAAGGAGGTTGTGAAAGCTGGCCAGTCAACAAGTAAGCAGGTAAAAACTGAAAAAGTTGGTAAAACTGTGGAATCAAAGTCAAATGTCACAGAGGCTAAGATAACTGTATCGGGAACAAAAGGTCAGAAGAAAACTCTACCTTATTTAAGCACCCCTCAGAGAAGTCCTAAAATAAAAGCTGAGAGTAGTGTGAAAGCCCAGACTAGTCCTATGGTACAAACATCAACAAAAGTCAAGCCAGCTTTAGATGTTGCCAAGACACTACAGGACACTGGTGAAAAAGGTTCTGATATTAAACCGACTAGAAACAGTCCTAGATTGAAACCTGCCGTTCAGTCTGCCGTAGCGCCTGCGGCAACACCTGCACCAGATGTCACAACTGATAAACCGGAGACAGCAGCTCCATATAAAAGTTCCGAGGATACGAGTAACAGTACACCGACAAAGGTCAGTATGTCTTGTTATTGTTTGTACTGATTGAATGTATTAATTGATATTCCTTCTATTAGATCTACCTTCTATGCTTTAAAAGTGTGTTGTAAAACATTTGTTGTGTTAAACATGCATTCTCAGTATATATAATTATATTTTAATTAAAACTCCTTAAAATAAGATGAATGGTTTTGTCCAGATTGAAAGATGGGCAAGTCCATTTAATAAATTGAATAGTGTTGTAAGAATTAAACTTAATTGGTTTAGTCTCAGATATTATGTACAGGGCTCTCGATTGACACGGGGATCCGGGTTTTGACTCGTGAAAATCGGGAAATGCACAAATTTGACACGTGATAAAATCTGCTCAAGAGTCAATTTGCCACATGGGAATTTCAGCTATGCAATAATAATTACCTTTAATCCACCCCTAATTACCTATCAAATCCTACATATGTTCAAATCTCACTCATAAAAAATGACAGCAGGCAGTATAAGCGGTGTATAAAATGCTTTGGTGTATAAAATGCTTTACACACGGCAATTGTTTATACCCTGTGCACTGAAGCGCGACAATTCAGTGGCTGCAATTTGACAGTGCTAAAAATAGCTCTACACAACTGATAAGAATTACATACTTGAGGTGTCAATTATTGATTGCTTTTAAAGGTTTATAATAGGTCTTTGATTTACTTGGAGTACCTGTGCATTTGTTATTTCTTTTTCCATTAAATATTCCAAGGTACATTTTGGTATTTAAAATTAATATGATATAGCATACCAGTAAAGATAATTTTTTTATATCTTATACATTTAATCAGAAAAGCTGCTGCTTATTTTATTCTTTCACAACAATTCAATTTTTTGTTTTATTTGTGCTTTTTTTAGGTGGAGGAGGGGGGGGGGATTATGGATTTTTTCTGTCAATTTAGACTTTGGAATCTCCAAAAATGACCTCTAATACAGTCATTTTTGTAACATAAAAATGATTCATGTAGTCAAATGACACTAGAAAAAAAATGATTTGACTCATGAAAATTTTGGCCAAAGAGTCTTTGACTCGTGAAATTCTGACCCTACTGAGAGCCCTGTTATGTAGGACTCAGGGTTGTCATTAAGAGGCGGCAGGAGGCCAAAATGACTGTCTCAAATGCATTATGGGCTGCCTCAAAATTAAAAATGCTTGATAAAAACAGAAATGGCCGCCTCAAGTCCAAAACAAACCTTCTGCGAAAAATGTTAATGACAACCCTGAGGACTAGTTTTCCCAGTATTAGTTGTGTATATTTTTATAGATGATATCAGATATGAATTTTACTTTTGACTTTAGAAAGTCAGTCAAACTTAGCTAAAAACTAAAAAGTATTATTTCCCTTGAAGGCTTCTTAAGTTTAAAGTTTATAATGGTACTGCTTTCATATTTTCTTATATACTCAGAGCTCTACACAGCATGTGTACCAGCATCAAATATGCATAGAAAAACCAAATTATGCATCACTTAGAATTCATGTGTCACAGTCTGCCTTTACTGAGCATGTTTTGTATTGTTTCATACTGAATTAATATTCTGTTACAAAAATTTTGTTATTTGGATTATTTAACGTAATGCAAAACCCATCAATTATTTTAGAAAGGAGTTTTTTGTCGCAATGTTTAACCATGAAAGTTACTTTCCCCTATTTCTATTTTAAGGAGGTAAATGCTGACTCTATGCCTAGTGAAATTTCTGTGTCTGAGAATGCTGGAACTCTGTCATCCAAGAGAGAAATAGATCTGCCAACTGTGAAGTTGGATACCATGTCAAAGGTATGTTATATTGAAATCTGTTAATCTCCTGGCTGATTTTATATCATGAATGTTTGTCATATAGTAAGTAAACATCTGTTTTGATGATCTTGAACAATGACGTATTGGACAGCAAAATCATTAATTGCATTCACTTATCAACAGCTTGTACAAATTGTGTCCTGTTTATTCAAGTCTTCATGCTAACCTTAGTAGGCTGATAAAAATATTTTCTGTGATTTTTTTGTTGTTGTTAATATTTATTGAATTGTATGGGTGTAAATAATGCCACTTGGGTCAAAAAGTGGTGTTACCAAAGTGATATAAATCATGTCATTGGAGTCAAAATTGTTCATACAAAGGTGATATATGCCTTATTCTCATCGATTCGTGCCTTCTCATCGATTCGTGACCTAAATAATTGTCTGGTATAAATATTTCTGCAAGGACATATACACCATCCGAAAACTACACAAGTTTTATTAGTCACACGATTTGACCATTTTATCCAATCAAAATGCGTAATTGAACAGGTGTAAATGAGCTTACCCTACAATCAGCTGATTACCTAATTACTTAAAAATATTCGATATTGATGTTTTAATTTATCATAAACACTTACAATTAAGCCAAAAAATATTCATTATGCTGTAAGAATTTACTTAAGACTTTGAAACATATATTGATCAGATCGGACTGAAAATAACCATGCGAACATTTAGTGGTGTGAGCACCTATATTTTGATGACGTCACAGGGTAAATCGGATTTCACGAATCGATGGGTAAGCGTCCAGCTGAGCAAGACAGTCATGGTTGACATGTTCAGATGCTCTAATCTTTGAGGGGTTGTTTTTAAAAGTAATTTAAAGTTTTTGAACTTTTAGATAATGAATTTATTTAACAAATGCGCTAATTGAACTGTATGTATGTCTGATATTTGTTGTGTAAGTGCAATTTTTCCAAATAAGAGTCACGAATCGATGAGAGAAAAGCATAAATCATGTAGCTAGGGTCAATATAGGTCATACATAAGTGATATAAATCTGTCACTAGGGTCAAAATTGGCCTAACAAAAGTGATATAAATCATGTCACTAGGGTCAAAATTGGCCTTACAAAAGTGATATAAATTATGTCTCTAGGGTGAAAATTGGCCTAACAAAAGTGATATAAATCATGTCTCTAGGGTCAAAATTGGCCTAACAAAAGCGATATAAATCATGTCACTAGGGTCAAAATTGGCCTTTCAAAAGTGATATAAATTATGTCACTAGGGTCAAAATTGGCCTTACAAAAGTGATATAAATTATGTCTCTAGGGTCAAAATTGGCCTTACAAAAGTGATATAAATTATGTCACTAGGGTCAAAATTGGCCTTACAAAAGTGATACAAATCATGTCACTAGGGTCAAAAGTGGCCTAACAAAAGTGATATAAATCATGTGACCAGTGATTTTCCTACTTCTATAACAGACTCCGAAAAAAGGCCTCTTCCCAATTGAAATTTTCTTTAAAATCATGCAATTTTCCCAAAAATCTGAACTAAATCCAGCTTTTTTACTTCCCAAATCAGCAATTTTAGCGCTCATTTTTCCCAAAATCAAGAGGCTAAAGCCTCTTCCCAATACAGAGAGAAAAATCACTGCATGTCACTAGGGTCAAAATTGGCCTTACAAAAGTGATATAAATTATGTCACTAGGGTCAAAATTGGCCTTACAAAAGTGATATAAATCATGTCACTAGGGTCAAAATTGGCCTTACAAAAGTGATATAAATTATGTCACTAGGGTCAAAATTGGCCTTACAAAAGTGATATAAATCATGTCACTAGGGTCAAAATTGGCCTAACAAAAGTGATATAAATCATGTCCAGTGATTTTCCTACTTCTATAACAGACTCCGAAAAAAGGCCTCTTCCCAATTGAAATTTTCTTTAAAATCATGCAATTTTCCCAAAAATCTGAACTAAATCCAGCTTTTTTACTTCCCAAATCAGCAATTTTAGCGCTCATTTTTCCCAAAATCAAGAGGCTAAAGCCTCTTCCCAATACAGAGAGAAAAATCACTGCATGTCACTAGGGTCAAAATTGGCCTTAATTATAAAAGTGATATAAATTATGTCACTTGGGTCAAAATTGGCCTTACAAAAGTGATATAAATCATGTCACTAGGGTCAAAATTGGCCTTACAAAAGAGTATAAATCATGCCATTAAGGTCAAAATTGGCCTTACAAAAGTGATATAAATCATGGCACTAGGGTCAAAAGTGGCCTTGTATAAGTGATATAAATCATGGCACTAGGGTCAAAATTGGCCTTACAAAAGTGATATAAATCATGTCACTAGGGTCAAAAGTGGCCTTACGAAAGTGATATAAATCATGTCACTAGGGTCAAAAGTGGCCTTACAAAAGTGATATAAATCATGTCACTAGGGTCAAAAGTGGCCTTACAAAAGTGATATAAATCATGTCACTAGGGTCAAAAGTGGCCTTATGAAAGTGATATAAATCATGGCACTAGGGTCAAAAGTGGTCTTACAAAAGTGATATAAATCATGTCACTAGGGTCAAAATTGGGTCTTACAAAAATGATATATAAATCATGTCAGAAGGGTCAAAAGTGGCCTTACAAAAGTGAGACAAATCATGCCACTAGGGTCAAAATTGGCCTTACAAAAGTGAGACAAATCATGCCACTAGGGTCAAAATTGGCCTTACAAAAGTGATACAAATCATGTTACTAGGGTCAAAATTTGTCTGGCCTCAGAAATCAGGGCACTTGTTTGGTTGTTTTTGGGGCCGAATATGGGTACCATTCCCCTCTCAAAATCATATGGTTTTTTTCCCCTATTTCAGAGAGGAATCCCCTCCAAATTCTAAAATAAATCAACTTAAAGTTTTTTTGTTTTATTTGTTAGTTTGCATTAAAAAAATGTACAAGATATTGATTGCAATGGTAGGAAAATTAATAACAATTTAAATCAATGAAAGGAAATAGTGTAATGAGTATGTGTGATAAAAAATACACAAAATATATAATAACATAAAATTCCGAATTTGGTCTTAAAACGCCCAAAATTCCCCTTCCTTAGGGTATGGGTACCTGTCCCCAAAAGGTGTCTAGTGGAAATCACTAATATAGGTAAAACACATTTAACTCTTGTGAAAAATTATTATGTCCAGAGCTTAGATATTTGGCATAATTATCACATTTTCCAAGCAGAACTTGGCAAATGTTATATAAATATGAAGTTTTGGTAAAGATGACACACCTATTGGTATCTTCTTTCTTCTGCATTGTAAAGTTGTGATGTTTTCATCATGTCCCTTTGTTAGATAGTGATAGATTTACAGCTGATAATGCATGTAAAAATCTCAACTGGGAAGTACAAAAAGTAGTACATTGTATATATGTGGCCAGAAATATTGTCAAATTTTTGCATATAATTCATTGTTTTACAGGTGTTTAAAGGAAGTGAAGTTAAGTTTATAAAATCGGCATTTGTATGTGTTTTTTTCATAGGCAGAGCTAAAGGAGTTTATACCAAAGTTACTGAAGTTGGTGACAGGTAAAGAGGAGGTGTTTTATAGTCGCAGGTCTGCCAAGCCAGAATGGTGGCCAGATGATGTAGTCTGGGCTGCAAGTCGAAATGCCTGGTTTTCTGAGGTAAGAAAAATGTCTGTATAGTGATTGTCCCAGTGATTTATATGCCCCCACTTGAAAAGTTGGAGCATAATGTGACAGTGAATGGTTACGTGACATCTTCCTTGTTTGATCAGAAATATAAGATGGAATAAGCAAATGATTTATAGAACATGGTAGGAACATTGACCATGTCCAGTAGATTACCCTTTACTGATTTTGTGGAAACTGGGTCAATAGTAAGGTCACAATGACACTAGAAAATTCCTTGTCTGGTTAATAACTTGAGAACTAATTAGAACAAGTTTAAGACACTTTGTAGAAACATGGCCTATGGCATGTAGGGGACCTCTATTAAACTTAAGTTCATTAGGTAAAGGTCTCAATGACACATGAAAAAATTAACAGGTTATTTTTGATTACGCCAAAACAAATTTGCATCTGGGCATATGTTGCCTGGTATTTGCTGTGCTCTTGTGTATTACTTGATGAAATAATGTATGTTAAAATGTTTTCATGGTTCTATGAAAGATTCTTGTAATATTTAATTGTAAAATGTATGTAAGTTTCAGACGTAAAAAATATATTATTTACACCCTTATGTGTACAAGTTCTTCTCAATGTATCATTTTTCATCAATCAGCAATGGAATTTATTAATCAATTGAGTATATCAACTGAAAATGTATCTGAATATATTCAAAGTAAAAATAAAATATGTTAAAGAGCAGGCTTATTTTTGTGCCCCCACGTTAGTGGCGGGCATTTAGATTTACCCTTGTCCTTCCGTCCGTCCTTCCGTCCGTCCTTCCGTCCGTCCGTTCACTTTTGTGTCGCACGTAACTCAAAAAGTATTTGACCTAGAGTCATGAAACTTTACAGGAATGTTGGTCAGCATGTGTAGTTGTGCACCTGGGTATTTTCGTCTGGATATTTTTAGTATTTTCAGAGTTACTGTATTGCCCTTGATTTAGTAAAATTTTGCAATTTTCAACATGTGTCGCATATAACTCAAAAAGTATTTGACCTAGAGTCATGAAACTTTACAGGAATGTTGATCAGCATGTGTAGTTGTGCACCTGGGTATTTTCATCTGGATATTTTTAGTATTTTCAGAGTTATTGCCCTTGACTTAGTAAAATTTTGCAATTTTCAACTTGTGTCGCATATAACTCAAAAAGTATTTGACCTAGAGTCATGAAACTTTACAGGAATGTTGATCAGCATGTGTAGTTGTGCACCTGGGTATTTTCGTCTGGATATTTTTAATATTTTCAGAGTTATTGCCCTTGACTTAGTAAAATTTTGCAATTTTCAACTTGTGTCGCATGTAACTCAAAAAGTATTTGACCTAGAGTCATGAAACTTTACAGGAATGTTGATCAGCATGTGTTGTTGTGCACCTGGGTATTTTCGTCTGGATATTTATAGTATTTTCAGAGTTATTGCCCTTGACTTAGTAAAATTTTGCAATTTTCAACTTGTGTCGCACGTAACTCAAAAAGTATTTGACCTAGAGTCATGAAACTTTACAGGAATGTTGATCAGCATGTGTAGTTGTGCACCTGGGTATTTTCGTCTGGATATTTTTAGTATTTTCAGAGTTATTGCCCTTGACTTAGTAAAATTTTGCAATTTTCAACATGTGTCGCACGTAACTCAAAAAGTATTTGACCTAGAGTCATGTAACTTTACAGGAATATTGATCAGCATGTGCAGTTGTGCACCAGGTATTTTCGTCTGGATTTATTTAGTATTTTTAGAGTTATTGCCCTTCACTTAAAAAATTTTTGCAATTTTCAACTTGTGTCTCAAGTTACTGAAAAAGGATTTGACATAGTCATTAAACCTTATGGGCAGGTTGCTCAGCATATTTAGATTTAGGGTTTCGCTTGTGGATTTATCCAGTATTTGTAGAGTTATTTCCCTTGACTTAGTGAAAAGATTGACAGAACAGTGGCGCGGTGGGGGCACCCGTGTCCTATGGACACATTTCTAGTTCATGTTAGATTGGCAAACTTAAAATTAAACAAATTTAATTTATATTTTCCATTATTAAAAAGTCAGATGTTTTTTACGGTTTTCAGAAGTACTGGACTGATAATCTACGATCTGTTGTTAAGAATTGTTACAAGCATGTTGGCAGGGAAGATCTATTACAAAGCCTCGTTGATGATTCCAACTTTGAGTCCAGATATTCTGAATGTTTGAGCAAGGTAAACTTATTGTATTGAAAATTTGGGAAAGTCGTATTTAGCTTGATTAATTCAAAAAATAGTGGGGCTGTTCTAATCACCTAAGTTGTAACAGGGTAACACTTGGTTTAAGTTTTGCATGTAATTCCATATCTCATTTACTTCTTATGTCATCATAATTGTAGGTCACTATATAAGGCCTATATTTATAGAACAGAATAGAACAGAATTTAATTGTACTATATAGCCCATTATGAATTTAGAAAATTCCTTACAAACGATTTGCATTCAAGATCAGTAGCCTCAAATATTCTGAAGGTATTCACCAGAAATTCTTACATGAATTATGATTGTGTAAATTTGTAATGTTGAGGTTTGCCTGTTCATTTGAAATTGCACAAAGTTGTCTTTGGTGTCTTAATTGTGTGCCACTTTCCAAGACCCATTTAACTCTGGCATAGATTCTTTGGTTAAGTTTTGTGTGGAAAATCTGTATTGCCACTACTGAAGGTATTCAATGGATTTTGTATTATGTTTAAAGTGAACTTGTTTACAATTGGAACATATTCATTTAATATTTCGAACATTGATAAAATCAATAGAAATGTATCATTTTATCAATAGAAATGTATCAACTATCATTTGGATATGTTCTTTTGAAATAATTCCTATGAAATAATTATTAGTCAGAGGTAATTTAATCTTGCCAATATCATTATTGACACTGTCAGACCAGACTCTATATAGTGTAGAGTCTGGTCTGTTGGTTTAATTTTTGCATCATTTGTTAACTTGAAACACCTCTGAAATTTACAATGGATAGGTCTATTACACAGTCTAGTATAATGAGACCAGAAAATTTAAGGCAAAATATTTGTTGAAGAATTTGTTCTACACAATCTAGAGTAAAACTCAACCCTATTTTAACTGCAAAAAAAAATCAACAAAAAAGAAAAAAATGAAATATTTGAAAAAATATTGATGTCAAAATTCTGGAAAAAGTGGTGGCAGGAAAATCTATAAATAGAAACAAGTATAAGTTATTGACCTTTTTCATTTTCCTAAAATAAATACTGTACCTGTTTGACATTTGGAATGGATGTCATATCTGTATAAAGCCTATAGCAGTAATGATAACACTAACTGTGTCAGTGTCACATGATGTGTTGGAACTAAAATATGTTAACTTTATTTCATGTCAAAACTTGAAGATTTAATGTTAATATTGGTTTTTCAAATGTGGAACTAAGTTAATTTATAGTTGATAGAGGTGTTGGAAAGTTATTTTCATGTTTTTGACATTTGAAAATATGAGAATATTTCAAGTTTGGATCTTAAGTTTATTTTTATGATATAACCCATTTGTGGAATTGGTTCATTTTATAGAGCGTTCACCTTTTAACCCTTATAACACTTAACCCATTACCGCATGAACATTTTGTGAAAAATGGCTGTTTTCATTGAAAAGCCTCCTGCTGTTAAAAATTCAAACTGCTATGAAACTATAAAAAATGCTTTAATACTTATCAAACTTGGCACAAATATTTACTGGACCATAGCTTTGTAACGGCATGCTCAATCTTTTTAATTTCCTATTACCACGTCAATGAGGGGACATCTCAAAATTGCCAAAAATCACAATTTTGCATTGATTTTTTCCATCAAAACTGATTAACATCTCAATGGATTGAGATAGAGTCAAAGACTTTTCAGTGTTGGTTACACCTTAAGATCAATCTGAGGCCATTTTTAGCCTCTCACAAGTCCAAAATTTTCTTGGCATTGATGGGACAGCAATGTTTGTGACTTAAATTAGACTCTCTTTTTTTTCTCTCACTATTTGAGGCCTCAAAAGGTGAGGGATGAAAAGGTGTGAAACATGTCTATATGAAGTAAAGGTTTAATATCCTTAAAAGATTTGGCCATCTTTCAATCCGTTTGAAACCATTTTACATTTTAAGGGAATATTTCAAAATAATTTACTGACTTAATAGTGAACGGTGCAGACCATGATCAGATGGTCCAAATATTCCAGCTGATCTTTGTTTGCACTGGCCGTAGGTTAAATTCATATATTCATATATAGGAAAATAAAGTCCTTTAGAATAAAATGTTCTGTCAAACACAAATATATTTCAGAGAAAATTCCACATTTAGGAAAGTTCTGTTAAGCATAAAAAATGTCACCTAGGGAAGTTCTGTCAAACACAAATATATTTCACTGAGAAAATTTCACATAGGGAAGTTCCATCAAACACACATATATATGTCATTAGAAAATTTCATATTGGATTCTCAGTCAAGAGCACAGATACATTATATAGAAAATTCCACATAGGAAAGTTCTGATAAACAGTATTTATTTCAGCTGTTGTAGACATGGGATGTATTATTGTGATTATTTTAACTAGGTTTTCCTTTCTTGTATTCAGGATATACAGAATGAGGATACAGTGAAGACAGGGTCATACCCATCATCTCCTGTCAAAATTAGAATGTTTCCACAAGGTAAGATCTCATATAAACCCTTGTTACATGTAGAGCAGTGTCTAGTGACAATGTTTGTATGATATACAAGGGAAATTGAGCCCAATTAATAAAGTCTCCTAGATTGTAATAGCAATATGAAAGATGTATTTATGACTGTGAATATTCCTTTAAATCTTCTCTCATGGTTTATGAAACAACAACAAGAAATTGAATAGACGAAGAGAATACCTGTGTTCATATCCTTAATTGGCATATAACTACCAGAGATCTGCCGAGGATGGGATATCAAAATGGCCCATTATTTTCAGACCAAGTGGGCCCACGGCCCAGTAATTTCAAATTCATGGCAGATCTCTGACTTCTGGTATTCACTTTTTAAGCTTCCACCTTTGATACTTTATAGATCTTGAGGTGAAAATATAAAGTGGGCCAGCCTTCAGTATAGAGCCTGGCCAGAATGATTGGAACTACATAGTACAGCCTGGCTTGGCTCTATACTGGTGGAAAAAGACTTATCATTTTTGGTACCCATAGGTAAAGGGTTAACCAGAATCAGTTTTTGCAACATATTTTATGGTACAAACACTTAATGTAATGGAGTGCTCTCCCATTTCTGAATTTAGTGACTATACAGCATATTTAATATTTTTCATTACAAGTAGAAGTGACTTAATATTCATGACCAATTTATTGAACAGTGGCCTGATGGCCATATATTTAGGATTGTTCTCTTAGCTGCATGTGTGCTTATCATATTTAGGTTTATTTTTTAGAAGTATTTGGGTTATTTATTATGTTTGGAGCACTTTTTATGGTGGGCATTATATTTAGAAAACTGTTGATGTCTTTTTGTAGATCTGTTCCTGCCATTCTCAGCTGAAATCTACATATGTTACTTCTGTGAAAAAGAGTTTTTGAGCAAAGATAAGATGCGAAGCCACCATAAAGAGTGCACAGAGCGTCCTCTTGATCTACAAAATATGTATGCCAGTGTCCCTTCACGTGATTCTGCCTCGTCTGTTCAGATCCAAGCCATGAGCCCAAAAACTGATGTTGATAGAAATTGGCCTAAATTGTCACTTGACAAGTTCTCTGCCTATCTCAATCTTGTTCCTAAACATACTGCGGCTAAATTGCGTGAACAAAGGCTTAGTATTGAAGAAGTCAGTTGTGAAATACTGGACGACATCGAACCTGTTTCTCCCGTCACACCTAAAACTCCAAGATCATTAATCTCACAGTTGAGCCGGGATGATACGAATCATGGTTCGAGAAAACGCCTCTCTTATTCCTTCTCTATGGACAGTCATAAAGACGCAGTTGTGGAAGAAGCCGAGCCCGATTCTGACGGTGCTGAGACTGAACCGAACACGAAAACAGTTCATGAAAATAATTTTCTGGATATACCTATTAGCTCATTGTTAGGACAGAGAATTAAGAATTACGTACATGTTGACACTCCAATGAGTGTTGTTGAAGACACGGGCACCTTTTGTAGGACCCCCGTGAAAAACACATTTCTTGAGAAATTGAGAAAAAAGCCATTGGCCTATCCAATTTTGTATCGTCCTCGACGTATTGCTAATATGCATAAACAGAACCATATATACAAATTCAAGAAATCTGAAGTGAAAGAATTCATGAATAAGATTAATACTGGGCTGAGTATGTCTAGTATAGAAAAGTGGAAAAGTATGAAAAAGTTCACTATACGAGTACCGAGACTTTCAAGGAAAAAGTTACTGATGTGGATTCCAAGACGAAAGCTGGATAAACAGCTAAGAGGTGCCTTCAAAGGGTTGAAGTATAATCCCTATAGTGATTTAGAGGATATTGAGTGTGAATTACCTGCAGGGCCGACTTTGTTGGCTAAGAATATTGATAAGTTGCTTGGACTAAAGAAGAGGTCAAGTCTAGAGAACTCGAAGATGTCGATGAAGAATTCCTTGTCGCTTAGCAACTTTATATCGGAGGAGATGGAAGCTGAGGTTTCGAAACAGAAACTAACTTTGTACAGGAGTTTATTGTATGAAATGTCTGTCCTTAAACCAGCAGTTGTGATGGAGGATATAGGAGGTCAGGTTAGAGGGGAATATCACAGTAAAAAACAAAGTGGATACAAAGTTAATGTAAAAGTTGATAATGCTGAGGAGAAAAAAATGAAAACACCAAGTGTGTTCAGGGATATGATCCGCAAGAGTAAAGAAGAAAGGATAATGGCGGAAGTTGAAGAACGGGAAAGGAAAGAGGACTATCAGACTCTGAAATCATTACTGATGGCTCCGAAAACCCCAGAAAGGCTTATTTCAAAAAATAGTATGGGAAAAACAAAGCCTTTGTCTGTGGATGCTTATGGTGTTAAAAATGACGCTAGATCACCAAATGATGATAGCGTGTCAATTATGTCGGCTTCTTCTGAAGGAGAATCTCTACATTCAAACTGTTGTCAAGGGTGCTGTGACAGAAAACACCATCAGTCTAAACACAGCTGTAACCGAACAAGTCCTTGTCACACTACACCACCACCATTAATTCAGCCGTTGCATGTGGACGTTGATCTCAATACTATGAAAATTGACGAGTACGGTATTCCCTCGCCAATGTCTATCTCAAGTGAGTCACCTTTTCCACCAACACCCAGTAAATCTAGCTCATCTATACTGGATAATTCAAGTCAACTGAGCGTTAAAAGTATGGACTCGGTAGAAAGTTCCCCAGTTGGTAAAAGGGAGACACGTTCAACTCGTTCATTCGGAATTTCGTCTCCATTTAATGAAGACGGTTCAGTATTTGCTGTAAGTTCCAAATCACAGGACAAAATAAATCTTTCTAGTGTCTCTGATTCATTGATTAAAAACTCGTTACGAAGGGTTCAGTCTGAAGGAATGCATACACGTTCATGTTCAAACACCCCAAAGGACAGTCCAGTAAAACGTCCGATTCGATCTGGGAGCTCCGCCCCAGTGTCACCATCCAAAGTAACGAAACAGATAAAATTACCATTTGACGTTAAACAGGTGTCAAGAAAACTAGAAAGCCCAGCTTTCTTGCAGAGCTCGAACGTTGATTTAAAATTCAAACTTCGGTCCGGAATGTCAGTGAGTGATATAGGTAAATGTGATTCCCCTGAATGTTCAAATTTGTCTCCACAATCAATTGCTGCAGCTTTATGCAGCAACCAAAGCTCAGGAAATGGTTCAGTAGTGAAGGATACTTCAGGTAAAAACAATACTGGCGTATCTTCAGAGGCCAACAATCCTTTAAGAAGGTCCAAACGAAGATCTTCGTTTCTTAGTGAAGGTGTTCAACCTACAAAACTACGAAAGGTCTATTCAGATATGGCAGTTAATACCCGATGATGGTTTCAACTTTAATCTAGCATAATAGATGATTTGTATACATATGTACAGCTTGTATTATTATGTTATATATGAAGTCTGGGGTTGTATATTATAGCTCATCAGATCATTTCATTGACAGTTATTGTGTAATATATCTTTAGTAACATCACCCGATCATTTAAAATTTAGAAACACAGATTCAGGAAAAACATTTACATTGTATTAATGGCAGCAATGATTCTAATTCTGGTATAATCATAGTAATCTTCAGTTTTCATTAATGAAAATAAAGTTAATACAGTTGAGTAATCCATGGTTTTGAATTGCACAGAACTGTGTGAATGATCATAAACATAAAGTTCTTTAATAAGGTAAAAATTATTATATTACAACCCATGTCATCATTAAAAGTAGTGGTTGAGTAGTTCACACAGTAAACTTTGTATCGGGCAATGTATATTGTATCTTTTATCAATTTAGAAAGAATCCTTAATATTAGTTGTAAATAGAAAACACAAGAAAACTGGCTACATCATGTACAGCAACAACACAAGTCAGTTTAAGAACAAACACAAAAAAAACTAAAAAGATATTTAAAAAATAATCGTGTAAGCACATTTTCAACATCTTTGATATTTTTGTAAATATGCAATTAGGGTTGCACACCGGTTCCCGGTATCGGTCCTATACCGAATAGTAACTTCGTAAATTACCGGTATATACCGTTTCGTAAAATACCGGTACTGGATTTGATACTTTTGTAATTTTGTAAAAAAAAATAATTTAATAGTCAATATGTCAAAAAATAAGAAGATTTTTAAATAAAAACAGCCTACAAACACGTAAAACAAACTATGATTTACTATTATCATGCGGCGAGTACGGCTGTCGCGGCAAACTTGAAGTTTGTGACGCGGCAATATTTTTGTAAAAGTATTGTGCCGCTTATATTCAAGATAATAATATTTTTGTACTCGGCAGGAAAATTTAATTATTTGAACTGATTTTGCTAAAAGTTTGTAAGTTTTAAATGTCAAGAAACAACGAGAAAACAAATCAAATACTTGAGTAATCATCAGCACATCGCACACAGTCCTTACAAACACATCGCACACAGCTTTTGTCGTAATGACAATGTAAATCCAAGATATGACAATTGTTTATTCAAACAATGCTTTTAAAAAATAATTAAATCCTTTTTTCAGTTTAAGTCTCTAAACACTCATAATGAATACATATTTAATGTTTCCAGGTTCTTTTCATCCATTACCACATGTACAAATCCACACGTGAATTACGATTTTAACATAAATGAGGCCGAAATATTCCAACAAAATATGCCTCCTTTTGTTTTTGGTGTAACACTGAACTATTATTAAACATGTATACATTTTCTTAACAAAAGAATGCTGACAGAACTTCAATCAAAAAGTGTGAATGTCGGCGGCTCTTTGATGGTGATAGAGTAACAACATCAAAGGGAGGCATATTCTTTTGAATAGCCTATTATGCACCTGTCAAAGGTCAACTTGTGTGTATTACACATTTAGATCTGTGATACTTTAAACAATTGAAACATATTTCATATAGTGTTTTGTAGGATTTTTTGCAAATGTTGGCTAGTATTTTTGCGTATCTGAGCAGTATGGAATTATGCAATTTGGTAAGGACAATACTTTTTTTCTGTAGCAAGATGTTCACGGTGCATGCTATTGAAAAATAAAAGATGTATAAAATTGAAGGGTAAATTCAATATTAATAAATACCAAATCCTTATTATTTGTAAAGCATAGGTATTTGCTTTATGACTTCTACAAGGACTAATATTAGGTTAACATGAAAATGTAAACAAGTCATTTTGGAAACAGTCTGTGCTGACTGTGCATATACATGTATTTCAAAATTTCTAAGTTAATTACTGGTGGAAAATATGTTTGTGCTGTTGTAGTAGAACAGACTGGAAACATAAGTGACTTTGAAAAAACATCTAATGAAATTTCTTACATGTAATTCCAAATTGCAAAGTAAGCCAACCAATCCAGTGATTTCATTTATTACAGTAAACAATAATGTGATTTAAAAAGAATATCAGCATCAGAATAAAATTTCTACACAGTAATAATAATAGCTGTAAGAAAATAACAGATAACCAACTCTCTTAAATTCTTTCAGATGTAGAGATATCAAGCTTAAAACAATAATTTGTAGACTTCTCAGCTGCAGACTGCTGTCCTGCATAAGATATTTTGCTGTGTTTAAATTATGTCATGTTCTTTTGATGAAAAAGTAAAAGTATTTTACAATTAACATGTGTAAATGTTGTAAAAAAGAGAAAACACAAAACAACAAAAGAAAAGTATACTTTACAGCATGAAATTTCAGAAAGACCAGTAATGTAACATATTTATTTTCTATTACTACATGTTATAATTCTTCAGTTCTTATACTTGCAGCAACGGGTTTGGTATTGTAAAAGTATCAGTATCAGTATCGATAAAATACCCGTATCGTTTCGTCAGTACCGGTATCGGTATCGGACCGTTTCGTGAAGAACGATATCCAACCCTATATGCAATAGGGTTTTAACATATTAACACATTGCCACATAGCACTGATTATCATTTGCATTCTTCATGGTTAAATATATCCCTAATTTAATTGTTTCACTTAAAAAATGAATGTTATGTGCTCCTTTCAGATTGTCTTTCAAAAGGTTATGTTGTCACATTTGAATAATCCACAAGATTGTGAATTGTTTACAAATAAGATGAGCTGATCTCCTAAACTATAACATTATTTTGTGACAAATTGTTATCAGAAAATTTGTGTTCAAACCCCACTTTATTCAGTTTCCCATTATTATCCTCGGTCAATTCTTCATTTTGTGACCATGGTTGTTTTCACACAAAAAATCAAAGATTTCAGAGACATTAATAGTTAATGTATTTTGTTATTTTTGTTTGTTTGTTTATTTCGGGAAATATTGCATACATTTAATCAGTGTAAAAAAGTGTTAAAGGCACATAACGCCTCAGAAACAAGTTTTTCTTTCTTTAGATAGGGCAGGCAAGAGTTTTTTCATGTTCAAATAATGGTTTTAGAGCTTGTTAAAGCTGAAAATACATTTTTTTTTACATAAAAATAACAAAATGTAAACGAAGTAGTATTTTGACTTCAATGCAAAATACTAAATCAATATAAGTATACTAATTGCCAAAAAGCAACAGAAGCAAAAGATGGCTGGTAATTGTCAAATTAGTAACTTTTTTTGTTGAATATATAACAGGAAACTCAAACAAATACTTTTGAGAAATAAAACTAAAAACATTTCTGAGGCATAACGGGCCTTTAATAATTAGTATACATGACAAAAATGAAGTTTTCCTTGAAACAGATTGGGAGGAAATATAATCATGACATTTATCTAGTCCTACTTTAAGTTTGAAATACTGGGAAAAATACTTCTAATGTTACTAGGTTGTTGCTTTATATAATTGTTTGAATGATTTGTTTATTTTCTGTGTTCTCAATTACCATCAAGTATTTCAAGTGTATTTTGATTGTTTTGCTTTCATTTTAAAATAGAATATGTTCATTTTTATGTACCGTACTTAACCCTTAACCTCATGAATTTATATAATAGACTTGCCCATCATTGTGGATTTTGGGACAGTCCATTATATGTTTACGGGATTTTTATCTTCAATATAAAATACAAAAGAAATGAGCTACCAACTGTCTAGAGCCTGGTCAGATTGCACTGTTGTTCTCTTGTTCAGCTCCAACAGGGCAAAGGTTAACATTTATAATCTTGAATGAATTAAAAGAATTACTGACAAGCATTATGTGCACCTCTTTTAGGTGTCAAATGTAAAATATACCTATATATATATATATGTCTCAATAATGTGTTTCGTGTATGTTTAAAATGGACTGAAAAATCATAGATTTAGATGTACATAGTAAAATATCTGTGATGATTATTCCAATATTTAGTTCCTAGTGTTTGAGTAGCATGATCACGATTGTAGACTAGTGTTAGTCATAAAGAATGAATTTTATTAAAGGCTACTTAGTATTTTTGTGTGTTCTTAAGAAGAAGAAAAAGGGTACACCAATATTTGTGGTGATTATCTTTTTTTCTATATATCTGTAAACATTTAAATGATTATTTGCTTGCCCTAGTATGGATGTTACCGGTATATAAGTGCCATTTACTTGTCATGCTCCAGTCATGTGTAAATGTATTTTGTTGGGGTTTTAAACATGAAAATAGTTTTTAAGTCGAGATTGCAATTGTAGGCAGCTCCTTGATGGATTTTTGGCATGAATTTTCATTCAGTATGTTAACTTTTTACATATTACACATTTTTACTATTACACAGTCAAATTTGAGTTTTTAAAAATTTTCAAAGTGTAATTTAAAAAAAAAAGGTAAGAAATGTTTCCCTGGAGTCTTTCAATTGATAATGTCTATTAAGTATGTAAAGGTTCATTATAATATTGGGGTTACTTCAGTATATGATTTAAAAAAAAGAACTACAGAAAAGATTTTTGTTAATTCATAAGTGTTGAAAACAGAACATAATAATATTTCTTCAAAGTACATTGTTGCTTAACACTCTGCCTGCTTTTGGAAACTGCATGTAACTATGTGGCCAGTACAAACCATGATCAGCCAGCCAATCTATGTTGTCTAATCATGGTCTGCACTGTTTGCTATTTAGTCTGTATTTATTTGAAATATTCCCTAAATATCATAAATGGTTTTGTCCAGATTGAAAGGTTGTCAAGTTGAAGATATTTATTGCGAACATGTTAAAGGGTTACTTATGCAAGATGTAAGAATATGCGAGAAATACTTCAAAAAAGATATTATATGTAGACTTGTACAGTATGTATATTTAAATGTTTATATGTATGAAAAATAAGCATGTTGCATAACAAATTTTACCGTTACCAAATTAAGTTGTTGATTAAGTTTTATTTCCATGTATTTTTTATAAGCTATGCATTTGGAATCTCTTGTTAAATTATTAAGTGCTATTTCTTTATCATTTTGAACACTTTCTTGTCAATTTATCTGACATACCTGGTACCCGGCACTATTGAATATATTTTTAATAGTCTTTTGTATAAGATGAGCATAAGTGTAATAATAATATATACATTATAAAGTGATGTATTATTGACTAAATGAGATGTAAACTTAAAGGAACTCCACTGAGGTTAAAAAATCTAAAAACATAAAATTTGAATTTCTTACATAATTTCAGCTCGGGCTCTTAAAACAGAAATATATACAAAAGATAAAATAAGAAAATATACTCAGAAATAAATTTAAATTCATATTTTCACCATTTCAAAAAACTTCAGTGGAGTCCCTTTAATATATCTTTATTATCACAAGAATCTTGCATTTTGTAGAACTGAGTATTTTTTGTTGATGAATTATGTATATGCACTTTATCATAGCAGAAAAAAAATCATTTCATGGAAATTGTGTTAAATATAGATGACTTTTCACATCCCAATAGATTAGTTTATCGCAACAGTTTTATTCCACAGTGTATATTATGTGCAAATCTAATTTTTCATAAGTAAGGAATTGTAAAATTCCATCAGCATGTTGG